TTCAGGTCCAGCTTGGCCTGAGAGATGCAGCAAGCCAATGAAAAGACAAAGAGAAAAAAGAAAAATCATGACATTGGAAGAACATACTATAATTCTTTGAGAATATAAAGAAGAAAGAATGATATATATATATATATATATATATAACCTACAATTGTGTTTTTTTGTTTTAATTTTTTCTTTTCTCCCTTTTCCTTTTTCTCTGTCAGGGAGAACTGGTGAGACCTGAAGTGGGCTGTATTAAAAGTGGGCTGCATTGCTGTTGTTTATATTACTTAATTTTTACAGTGTATGGGTGATGAACCTTGAGCAAGCTTCTGTCCAGTGTGGCTGAAATTTTAGAGTCAAATGGGATTTAGATAACTTCTTTGAAATAAATTCAGAACTCTTGGGTCCAACCTGCCAATATCTAGAAGAAAATTAGTCATTGTGGGTCACTGTACGTGAAACATTAAATTGTGATACATTAAGCAGCACAAAGCCCTAAATTCCATAAATTGTAGTAGTCAAAGGCTGTGTTTGAGTATGTGTGGGAGCTATTGAGGTGCCCTGTGTGAGAGCTTCTCTGGGCAGTGTGCAGTGAAGTAGTAAAAAATGAATAAAAAAATAAACATAGAAAAAAGTAACCTCGTGTCTTGTGGAGCAGAGTAAATGGAATCACACATGCCAGGGATTTTATTTCATGTTTCTGCCTCTGACTCTCTTGGTTCAGGCTCTTCATTAAGGGCAAATTGAATGTTGACTTTTAACTTGGCCCTAGTGTTGACATTTGATTTTGGAAAAACCCTATGGTGTGTCTAATAATTTTGTATGTATGTGTGTGTATGTAAATATATGTATATATATTCAAATACATGAACATTGTAGAGTTTTGGAGGTGAGGCCTTTATGTGCAATTGGTTGTTTGATGTGTAAGAAAGGTGTCACATTGCTTTCTTTGTTATCAGATAATTGATAAAACTGATTTTTGTGGTATTTAATTTCTTTCTCATTTTTTTAATTTTTAAAAGAAAGACACCATTGTCAATCAAAGAATAAAATTCACAAAAATCTCCATGATATATTATGTCATGAGCCATGGTTATAAGCACCAAATTTAGAAAATTTGAAGTATTTAGTCTACTATAGTTTACTAACACGTTTTCAAACCCTCATGCAATTTTTCGACCTAAAAGGGAAAAAAAAAAGAAAAAAAAAAAGAAAGAGATTATTTATTTTAAAAACAGAAATGATTTGACTTGTAAAAATCGCATAGATTTTCAATTTTTCAATTTTAAATATTAATAAATTAAACCTCTCATATAAAAATCAAAACCATCATAGTTCAGTACTATTTTTTGTGATAGATTGTAATAGTTTCAATAATAATGACTTGACTGGAAACGTTTTGTCTATATCAATGAAATTGATTACATGATTTGTAATTGGATATATTTTTTAGTTTTTTTAGTTTTTTATTATCTCATTGTTAAAGAGCATTTTTTCTTGCCTTTTAAGATTAGATTTCATAGCCATTAATCTCATATGTATATGTGTGTGTGTGTGTGTATATATATATAAATATATATATATATATATATATGTTAACAATTTTAATTTGGATTTTTTGAATTTTCCGTTATTCTTATCTTATTTTATCTCAATCTTTCTAATTACAAGCATCCATATAAGATACTGTTGCTGATATTATATTACCTTTTTACAATATGAGTATAACTTTTGTAAAATTGTGTTGATTATAAATATTAATTCTGATTTTACTCTAGATACGAAAAAAATGTTGAATTTTTCGACAAACTTTAAGATATGAAAAAAAATATATCTCACAAGTTATGGATTTAAATACTATCTCTACAAGATAGTGTTTTTCCATCAATTGTTTTTCAGACGATACAATTTATTCAGCATGACCCATTTTTACAGAATTTTATGAAATCCAGAAAAATGGAACAAGATAATTTCAAAGACATTTACTAAACACAAATTTTGAAAATAGATTCTTTATATTTTAATCACAAAATAAATTTATTTGGTATAAACTAATTGGTACTTGAATGTTTTTTTCGAATATTGAAATAAATTTATTTAAAAAAATTAGCACAATTTGTGTAGTGTGTTTCAAATCTTTAATTTACTAGAATGAAACTTATTAAATAAATAAATAAATAAATGCTTTACCTTGTGAAATCAATGAGTTGCAGGATGAATTTGGAATTTTCAACCATTGAAAATGATGAGAAATAATAAAATCCATCTCATTTACTTCCTTGTGGTTAGATTTTTAAAAATGTTTAAAAAAAATAAGAGAAATTACATTGGTTTTGGTATTGAATCATGTACCCATGATTGCAAAGGCCCTGCTTCAAAGCCTGCTGCATTCTTTTTGTCTTGGGGAGACACTATGGGTGTGAGGGGAAAGTTTATATATAAAAAAAAATTAGGAATTAAAATACTAATAAAGCTTTGGACTTATGTTCCCAGATCTAATTGCATGGTATGGAGCCTTGCAACCCAAAAACATGTCTCAGAGATTATATCATACTTGCTTTTATGTGCTATAAACCTTGTTCTTGTTACTTGGCATTCCATTTTAAGAATGCTTATTCATCCATTTGAAAAGTCAAATATTTATTTTATTTTATTTTAATGGGACCATTAATGTCATATACATATGCACATTTATGTGTCTCAGATACCACCATAATAATTCAGTGACCTTCAATTGGGTTCTCACTTGTGAGGTATATATGAATTCTTCTCATTTCACCATTTGTACGTCTACAAATGAAAAGCTGACAGTTGTCTATTTCTAACTTATTGATGCTCCGACAACCAATTAAAAAATAAAATAATAATAGTAATGAACAATCTTCATCAAAAAGTATACAAATTTAAAAGGGCTCAATGGACAGAGCAAGAATTAGAACCTGTGACATTTGTCTACATTGTAATACATGTACATGTATGTGTGTGTCCTTTTTCTTTCATTATTTTTTTTCTTTATTAAGTGATAAGATTTATGGTAATGACTGAGGAATAGGGCAGTGATTGATTTGAGGAAGTAAAAACAATCTTGGTTGGAGAATGCCTCTCAAAAAATAAAAGGCATATGTATCAAAAGGAGATTGAGACTGAAAAGCCTCATGTCCTTGCAACCAATTCTATTTTAATCAGTTGTTTAGATGCAGAATTTGAGATATGTTCATCAGAGATTGCTCTGTTTCAAAAGCAGGCTTAATACACAAAACCAAATGGTTCACTAGATAATTTTCTCCTTCACAAAATTCAGTGCAAAGAAAAAGAAACTGCACAAGTACATACAAATTTACAAGAATAACAATCAATTATGATTGCAAAAAATTAAGATTTAGGAGTGATTGAGAGCTTGTTCTTGTGTGTGTGTGTGTGTATATATATATATATATATTTATATAATGAGGACTTTGATGAAGATTTAATGTGGCAGTTTCTAATTCCTTGTTGTTTAGCCATGATTGAGAACATCTTTTCCTGATTTACTGACCCTAATTATAAATCAAAATAATCCTAATGATGCTATTGAGGAGTCTCCATGGGAGTGTGTGAGTAGAGGGTTTAGGACAGATGCTCTCATCATGTTGCAACTCACCACCCCTTCCTTGTACATGTACCAACTTCAGTATCACTTCAAAGCTAAAATCACTAGTTGATATTTATAAAAAAAATAAATAGATGACATTCTTTTCATACTATCTGCTACAAGGGAAGACACATCACCACAGAGTCTAAACTGCTTTGTTATAGTTTTACAAAACTCACAGCAATGCAAAAAGAAAAGAAAAGAAAAAGAATGTTCATGTGGATGAAACCTTAAGAAATGAAGTCACAAGAGACACATTTTCTGACACCCCCAATTGATGTGATTAATCCCATGACAAGCACGAGTAAACATATTGTGATTTTAACCCATTAAAATCCCTACTTAAAACTGTCAACTCTGCTTGACTTTGCAATCTTGACTTGTCAAGTACATGCCCCCCTAAAAAATGCTAACCCCAAATTGATGCCTCTCATTCACCCCACCTGAGAGCAACAGTAAATAACCTCTCATGCCAAATGAACAGCTAAAAACACAGAGCAGCATTCAAGAGGCATCTTCATGAGCATCACTTTCTGCAACATGCCTTTTGTGAGAAGAACCCCACCCCCATCCCTTTGTAATAACACTACACAACAAGTTCAGAGAAGAAAAAGACAGTGAAACAATAAAAATAAATATAAAAATAAAAACCCCAGGAGAAAAAGAAATGTAAAAACAGAGACAGAAGGGGAATTCATGTTCTTGCAGGAAAGGAAAATATAAGAAAACAAACAGGGAATTAGGGGGGAAGGGGAAGGGGAAGGAAGGGTAAGCGAGAGATAGAGAGTATGGGGATAGATAGGAAATGCTGAGGAGCTGTTTCATTCATTCATTCATTCGTTTTCATTCATTCCTTCATTCAAGAGACTGACTGACTGACTGACTGGGTACCACCGTAGCACTCTCTTGTGGCGTTTTCGATAGCATGAACCAGCATGCATCAGCACCAACTGGGGAAAATGGGGAAGAAAATGAGGTGTGGGGGAGAGGGGAGTTAAGTAAGGGTGCGTTTCTACAATGCGTGTTGGATCATCCAGGCAACATGACAGCATGATTAGCAAGCAAGCAAGCGAGTGAGTGAGGGTGAGTGAGTGAGCGAGAGAAGGCGAGAGAGAGAGAGAGAGAGAGAGAGAGAGTGTGAAACGGTGTGTGTTACGAACGAAGAGGGTTCAACGCGGGGGAGGGTGATTTAGGAAGAGGGTGAGGAGGTCGCGGTCGGTCAAATGGGTCGTAGCGAGTCTTAAAGGCTGAACTGGCACCGCGAGCCAGCTGCCTCGTGTGAGGCTCTGCAGAGTGCAGCAGCGTCCCTGAGCAGCGCCTGGAGCGTCGTCTGAGGGCAGGCTTGGGTTCACGATCGATCCCCTCAATCCCCGTCTTTCCTATCCCCCACCCCTCAAACGTCGTCAATCTACAGGTGCTGTCGCTGCCACAGTGACCGATCGCTTGTTCATTCATCCCCTGGAAATCGCACTCATCGACCAGCTAGTGCTGCTACCTTAACCTACAGGATCATGCATTTGCCCTGGTCGTCGTGGTCATCAGCTTATTTGAAAGCACAGTCGCACGAATACTCCCATTCTCACATCATTGCCTCGCTGCGCGTCACTTACTAGCCTGCTTTCGAGTGCGGGTGGGCGTTTTTATCCCTGCGGCTTGTTTGGGTTGTGCTCATGACGGATTGGCGTTCCTTTTGACCAGCTGATTGTGTCTTCTTCTTCCTCTTCCTCTTCCTCTTGAAGCTTCTTTCAACTTCTTCCAACTTCTTACTCACTTGCTTGGTAGAGTCGACGAGTCGGTGTAGTTCTCATTATTAAGCGCTCGTGAGTATGATTGCGTTCACGTAGTGCGGGTTCCGGCAAATGGTTTCGCCCCAATGTGCGAAGTGGAGAATTTCAAGGGAGTTTGGCACTGTTCACTGAATGTATGAATCAGCAGATTGGTTTTTACAAACTTGCTTAAATTGGTTGCTTCACTGATCGCTCCTGATCGATCTTAGGGTGGACGAGGAGAGTCGCTGGAGAAACTGCATTGATGACAACCATGACCACGTCTTGACAGCTTTGATTTAGCTTTCTAGCAGAAATATTCTGAAGCAAGCGTCGTACGAGGATTGATTCTGTAGTTGAAACGGGACCATCATTGTCCACTACCGTCGCCAATCTTGGTCCCTCAAAACTCCAGTGTCTGAGCATCCCCCAATTCCATTGTATGGGTCGGAATTTGAAGCTAGGAACAAACGAATTGATCGACCGTGTCGGAGACGGCAGTCACAGTTCTTCGGAAGCTCTTGTTGGGCAGCTCACCTTTTAGAGCCAGTGCCCGTCACGTCTACACCAACTTCGCCGTCCGATCATCTGAGAAATTTCATGCCATCGAAACAGAAGCCGACGACTGCTGTGCAAAAGGATTCCTTGCAGGTACTGCACAGCTTCTTATTGTTATTCTACCTTCACATACAATCCTCTATCTCGAAACAGGATGTGCCCGTTCTATTGTCAACTCGCCACAGCAGATGTAGTAGCGAAGCATGAGCAGCGGGCTTCCATGGCAATGCCGAAATGTACAATGACCATGGACCTAGTAGTTTTTCTAAGTACGCACTGAAGCAGTCATCGCCTGTTGTGTTAACAGTCTGTCGTTTTTGTTCAAGTTGTATGAAACATCACGCCATGACCTTCGAGTGTCACCGTTCGCTTGCAGGAGCCGTTTCGTGTCTTAGGACGTTAGTTACGAATCTATGCCGGCAATGGTTTGATGGACGAAAGATAGTGGCCAATCGTTAGCCACAAGGAATCGCTATTTGAAGGAAAACGGAGGAGGAAATATGAATATCTCCAATGTAGTACAGCTTGGGCTGCTGCTTTTGGCAATGCTAGTGCGCGAGCTTCCTCCGACGATGGCCACCAATGACGAAGGAGGTGCACTGTTGGCCTTCAAAAACGGGCTGACTTGGGACGGGACCGTCGACCCACTAGCCACGTGGGTGGGAAACGACGCCAATCCCTGCAAATGGGAGGGCGTCATCTGCAACACCCTCGGCCAAGTCACAGAGCTTTCTCTCCCTCGGCTTGGGCTCACAGGCACTATCCCTCCAGTTCTTTGCACCCTGACCAATTTGCAGCACCTCGATCTCAACACCAACAGTTTCTCCGGTACATTGCCGTCACAGATTGGCGCTTTCGTCAGCCTGCAGTACCTCGACCTGAACTCGAACCATATCTCCGGTGCGCTGCCTCCGTCTATCTTCACCATGCTCGCGCTGCAATACATAGACTTGAGCTTCAACTCGTTTTCAGGAGTGCTCCCCGCTGAAATTGAAGCGCTACGAGGGTTGCACACGCTCATTTTGCGAGAGAACTCTTTTTCCGGATCAATACCTCCGCAAATCGGAAGCCTCATTCGCCTGAAACGGCTCGACCTTAGCTTCAACTCCTTCTCCGGCACTGTGCCCCCACAGCTGGAGGGTCTAGTGAACATGGAGGATTTGAGTTTGAGTGCCAACTCGCTCTCAGGAGAAGTACCCCCCTTCCACATGATGACCAACCTCTACAGCGTGGATGTCAGCGGCAATCTCTTCTCCGGGAGCATCTCTCCCCGCTTAGCACAGTTGAAGAACCTCCAGGCGTTGGATTTGAGCAACAACTCACTAACGGGAACCATCCCGAGCGAGATCTGGAGCATAAGGTCGCTCGTGGAGCTTTCTCTCGGGTCGAACAGTGCCCTTACCGGTAGCATACCGAAGGAGATCGGCAATCTCGTCAATCTGACGAGTTTGTTCCTTGGAGAGTCCAAGCTAGGCGGGCCCATACCTGAGGAGATCACCCTCTGCACCAAGCTCGTGAAGCTCGATCTTGGTGGCAACAAATTCAGCGGCTCTATGCCGACCTATATCGGCGAGTTGAAGCGGTTAGTGACGCTGAATCTTCCAAGCACGGGACTCACGGGCCCAATCCCTCCCTCCATCGGCCAGTGCACTAACCTCCAGGTTGGTATTCTCCGAATCATTCAATGTTACAGTATATCAAGTGCTGCATGAACTTGCAATGCTTCGTGAGATCAATGTTTTAATTCTCTCTCTTAGTTACCCAGCCCTCCATGTGCAGGTGCTTGACCTCGCTTTCAATGAGCTCACTGGCTCTCCTCCCGAAGAGCTTGCAGCACTTCAAAGCCTGAGATCTTTATCCTTCGAAGGCAACAAGCTGTCAGGACCGTTGGGCTCTTGGATTTCAAAACTGCAAAATATGTCTACATTGCTGCTTTCTACAAATCAATTCAACGGCACCATTCCTGCCGCCATCGGCAACTGCTCGAAGCTTAGGAGCCTGGGCCTCGACGACAATCAACTCTCGGGACCTATTCCGCCGGAGCTTTGCAACGCCCCTGTGTTGGATGTAGTTACCCTTAGCAAGAATTTTCTCACCGGCAACATCACCGACACCTTCCGAAGATGTCTGACCATGACTCAGCTCGACCTTACATCGAATCGTCTCACTGGCGCGATTCCCGCTTACCTTGCTGAGCTCCCAAGCCTTGTCATGCTGTCATTAGGAGCGAACCAATTTTCCGGATCGGTGCCCGACTCTTTGTGGAGCTCCAAGACGATCCTCGAATTACAATTGGAGAATAACAATCTGGTCGGTAGATTGTCGCCCTTGATAGGTAATAGCGCGTCACTGATGTTTTTGGTGTTGGACAACAACAATCTCGAGGGGCCGATACCGCCGGAGATTGGGAAGGTGAGCACGCTGATGAAATTCTCCGCACAGGGGAATTCTCTTAACGGTTCAATTCCCGTGGAGCTTTGCTATTGCTCCCAGCTCACCACGCTGAACCTCGGGAACAATTCTCTCACAGGCACCATCCCACATCAGATTGGAAACCTCGTCAATCTCGACTACTTGGTGCTTTCGCACAACAACCTCACTGGGGAGATTCCAAGTGAGATTTGCAGAGATTTCCAGGTGACTACTATTCCAGTATCGACTTTTCTCCAGCATCGCGGCACGTTAGATTTGTCATGGAACTATCTCACTGGGTCGATTCCTCCCCAGCTCGGAGACTGCAAAGTGTTAGTAGAGCTCATCCTGGCGGGGAACCTTTTCTCCGGAGGACTGCCTCCTGAGCTCGGCAGGCTTGCAAATCTAACCTCGTTGGACGTGTCGGGGAACGACCTAATCGGGACCATACCTCCGCAGCTCGGCGAGTTGAGAACATTGCAAGGGATTAACCTTGCAAACAACCAATTTTCGGGGCCGATCCCCTCTGAGCTCGGCAACATTAACAGCCTCGTGAAGCTGAACCTGACTGGTAATCGATTGACAGGAGACTTGCCTGAGGCGCTGGGGAATTTGACCAGCCTCTCGCATCTGGATGTTAGTGGGAATCGTCTTAATGGGGAGATTCCGAAGGCCATGGCTAACATGGTGTCTATTGTGGGCCTGAACTTGGCGGGAAACGAGCTCAGTGGAGGCATTGCAGGGCTACTCTCGGAGAGCACCGTGTGGCGCCAGATGCAGTCACTGAACCTCAGCGGAAACAAGCTATCGGGCGAAATTCCAGCTGTTGTCGGGAACCTCTCCGGGCTGGCGGTGCTCGACTTAAGCAGTAACCATTTCTCTGGCGTCATTCCAGACGAAGTTAGTGAATTCTACCAGCTCGCTTTCTTGGATCTTTCTAGCAATGATCTCGTCGGCTCATTCCCCAGCAAAATCTGCGACCTGCGCTCCATGGAGTACCTGAACGTCTCAAACAATAAGTTGGTTGGTCGGATCCCTGACATTGGAAGCTGCCACTCGCTCACGCCATCCTCCTTCCTAGGCAATGCAGGCCTATGCGGGGAAGTTTTGAACATCCATTGCGCTGCCATTGCGAGACCTAGTGGAGCTGGTGATAACATCAGCCGTGCCGCTCTTCTGGGCATCGTGTTGGGATGCACCTCATTCGCGTTCGCGTTGATGGTTTGCATCTTACGCTACTGGCTGCTTCGGCGATCGAATGCGCCCAAAGACATAGAGAAAATCAAGCTCAACATGGTGCTGGACGCGGACTCCAGTGTCACCTCCACGGAGAAGTCGAAGGAGCCACTGAGCATCAACATTGCCATGTTCGAGAGGCCACTGATGCGCCTCACATTGGCCGATATCCTGCAAGCCACCAATAACTTCTGCAAGACGAATATAATCGGCGACGGGGGGTTCGGGACGGTGTACAAGGCAGTCCTATCAGATGGCAGGATTGTAGCCATCAAGAAGCTCGGCGCGTCGACAACGCAAGGAACTCGAGAATTTCTTGCAGAAATGGAAACCCTTGGCAAGGTGAAGCATCCCAACCTGGTGCCTTTGCTGGGGTACTGTTCCTTCGGCGATGAAAAGCTTCTCGTTTATGAATACATGGTCAATGGAAGCCTAGATCTCTGCCTTCGGAATCGCGCGGACGCGCTTGAGAAACTAGATTGGAGCAAGCGCTTCCATATTGCAATGGGATCCGCTCGCGGTCTCGCTTTCCTGCACCACGGGTTCATCCCCCACATCATCCACCGTGACATTAAAGCCAGCAATATTCTGCTGGACGAAAACTTCGAAGCGAGAGTTGCAGACTTTGGTCTGGCGCGGCTGATCAGCGCATATGAAACTCATGTGAGCACCGACATCGCCGGTACGTTTGGATACATTCCCCCTGAGTATGGGCAATGCGGGAGATCCACAACGCGTGGGGATGTGTATAGCTACGGGATAATACTCCTGGAGCTCTTGACAGGGAAGGAACCTACGGGAAAAGAGTACGAGACCATGCAGGGAGGGAATTTGGTGGGATGCGTCCGGCAGATGATCAAGCTCGGCGACGCACCGAATGTGCTGGATCCTGTCATTGCCAATGGGCCGTGGAAGAGCAAGATGTTGAAGGTGCTCCATATTGCGAATTTGTGCACCACGGAGGACCCTGCTCGTAGGCCCACCATGCAGCAGGTCGTTAAGATGCTCAAGGATGTGGAAGCTGCCCCCCAGTTCACGGCACTTGCCCCTGTATAATTGATCTTACAAGGTAAATTGATTATTTTGCTAATCTTCACAGATCTGAATCCATAGGAAAATATTGACCGTGTGTTTGCTCTCACCTTCGGTACCACCTTCAGTTTCCGAAAGCTTCGTCGTAGCTGAAGTCTGTTTTCGTTCTGCTCAGAGCTGTAAGTTCGAGATTGCCTGCAGCATGTGAAGAATTGCACAACGCTACCACCCGCGTGTTGATTTCTGCTGGGAGATAGCGAGAAGCTATGAATCTGGGTTGTGATTTGGTAAGATTTCACTCTTTGGATATGAATCAGCTCGAATTTCAGAACAGAATTAAAATCGATTTGCTGTCTGATTTGTTTGTAGTAGGCATCTAACGCACTGATCGCCTCAGGTTTCATGTCAAGACCGTGGGCTCGACTTGGAAGGAGAGAACCCACTTGCTCCATCCGGACCGAGAGCTGACATTAACCAACTATCGGATTGCATTGCACACACCTGATTGTATCCATTCAAAATGTAATATTCCAGGTTTGATCATAGGTATACAGAAACGATGAACACCCTTGAGAGCATGTGCCATTTGTATATAAGTGAATTTAAAAGCGTACTCCTCGCAAGAATCATTATGACCTTCAGTCCGCGACCATCAGTGAATGCATCAATCCAGTATTTAACCTGCGAAGGTCTTTGTGGGTTATAGTGGTTGACATTCGTTTCCTCCATGTCTTTCTTGTGCACACCCAGAGAATTTCAACAAATCAGAATGAGTTGTGGCGGCGCCGCGATAATAAGAATGTTACGGTAGTTAGGGTCCCGATTTCTCCAGGTGATTCACAGAAAGTCCTACGATATGTGACAAGAGCAGGAAGCTGTCTGTTGCCGCGTACAGTCGGCCTAAGAGCTCGATCTTCTTAATGAATCTAGAAGCGTCAAGTGCTTGATAGATACTCCCGCTAGTAAAGAGGCGACCTGGCCTTCAGCCATAGATGGCCAGAAGAATGCTTCACCGAGGACTTAACGCTTTCACTTCTCCTCGCGCTTCTTGAAGAAAATGAAGAATATATTGCTGACGCTGAATACACTGTGTCCGTCCTGAGTTCGAGTACTTCGAAATGGAGTATGAACCCGTACCTATCAGCTCGGATGCAGGGGAATTGGTTTTGACAAGAAATGTGCATCTTGTGCGTGTTCGTGGTTAGGGCTCGTCAGCGAATTGATGATGCCAGTTTTGCGTGAGTTCAATGTTGTATAGATTTACCCTGATGGGTTCACGAAGTGTTGATATCGTCTGCTATGTGTTTCACTGCTGTAATTTACCTATCCGAATTCGTCATCACCATCGCTAAACAGATCAACGAGTATACCGTGTTTAGTTCATGAACTTCTGGAATGAAGTTTAGTTGATTCAGAACTTGGTAAACATCCGCATTGAACAGCTCTTTGGAAAGTTTAGTTGAACATATAATAATTATCAAAGTTTTCTTCATTCTTTTTTATTTTTCCTGCTTTGAGAAAAGTCCATGCCTTGAGAGGTAGGCTTGCCCATTACATGCACTATTGCTCAAAGATTTGATGGCGCGCAGCAAAATCGCCCTCCTTAGCAACTGGTAATGAGCACAAGAACTTGTGGTGAGCCTTGCAGATCGTTGATGGAGATTTCAACGAAACAGCGAGAAGTGGTCCATCAGTCAACATGTCACCCAATATTAATCTGACAACTCTGACATACGATCGTCGTAATGAGATGTAGAGGGTGTTGATACTCTACCATTAAGTTTCTTTGAGTGGACCGAAATTTTGCTTTCTGTTTGGCAAACAACGTGAACGGAAAACTGAAGTGGCTCGAATTGTGGAAGTAGGAAACTTATTCATTACAACCAGTGCTCAATGGAAGATTACCAGTACAATTGCTAACTTTAAAATAATGAGAATAATAAATAATAAATTAAAAAAACCAGGTGGTCTTCGAGGAGGATATATGTTCCGGCGCATACGGTGCCTGTCGCGGCCATGCAATTCTGGCCCTTCCGTGATAGGTTGGTATACGGATGATTGCTGCACCTTAACTGTCAAATTGAACAATGGTGCTGATGATCCTACAAAGCATTGCATTGGGAATTTTTAATTGAGACTGGTAGCACTCAAGTTCGAATGTGGTCACTCCGAGGTAGCTTTGGTTGAGGACAAAATAGAGACAGTCACAATAGTGGGAAAAATCACTGGCGACGGTCTGCATCATTGGTAACGGACAAGGTCGAAACGAACCAAACGCCCAGTTCTCGTCTCTGTAACGTCACTGCACCTTTCAGATATAGATCACTTCAACAAGATACTCTGCATATCTCACTGTTTCTCAATATTTCCCACACCTGACGCCAGGTTTGTAACACCCCAGTCCTAATCCCCTAATCTGATCTTCCAAATGTTTGAACATGGAGTACTATGCTCAGAAAGGATTGAACTGTTGATCCAACCACGACATTTACACTACTAACAAAACCCTGTTTGCCAGATCACGTTTTCAGAGATCGATAATCTATACCATCCTTCTTCGCCACAGATTAACATGGCAGCTGAAGATCATGAAGGAAGCTGAAGCGTGATCTTTTGACACATGGTCTCATTGCACCCTGTAAAATTACACATAAGACAGAAACCCTAAACCTAACCCTAAATGTTATATCTCCTGGCCAAAACTGGGTAAGTTCTCACGATCGCTTGTGTACCAGATCTCAAGCCTGCTCGAACTAAGCCAATGGCCAACACTGTGAGCTGATGACGCTGATGTAAACGCTCCGTATCATCAAACCCACTGGCCAACACTCCTGCCATCGCGATGTCCTTGAACACGTCTCACCAATCTCGGAGAGGACGACATGCTCCAAAGCAATGTTCAGAAATCCCCTCCCTTCCTCATACCCTTAACTGCTCGTATGGGCAACATTCTCCAGACCTCAGAATTCCTGTCGCCTCATTTCTCTTAAAACATCATTCTCTGGTCAATATGGGTTAGAACGGAGGATCAGTGACAGCAATGAACATGACAGAAGTGCAAGATATCTTAATAAATACCTTCCCCCTCTGCTTTGCGTTCTGCTTCCACCATTACTAAACTGAATGAACTTGAATTCTAATCCTATTTGGGTGGTATTAAGTTAGTGCTGCATGAGAATTAGAAGAAGAAGCCTATCCTGCCAGTGGGTCAGTCACTGTAATTGAAAAAGCCTCTGGTAGTACTTCCTGTAATGGCACCATTAGATAAAATCCTGGCCCATTTTGTCAGGAGTTGTGAAAGTTACTAAAGCAGATATTACACTGACTCCTGCTATCAGCCTGAACATCAGTCGATTTTTCTGCACTATTTGTGCAGTCATCTGGAATTGTTTAGTTGCTGTCTAAAAGTGTGCATCAAATAAAGTGAGAAATAAACATTAACCATTTGCTGCCAGGTTTCTTAAACATTGGGTCCTGTCTGCTTGCTTTAAGAATTTTTTTGACTTCATTTGTTTTGTGTGCAATCTCATTTTTAGAGGCTCAATGTATGTGACACAACAATTCAACCTTTGATTGCCTCATTCCATGTATGAAGTGATTTTACTTGATGTGCAAAGTTCACTTTCAGCTCATTCAAAAGACAGGTATGGATTTTGCTGCATCCATAGTACTCCTTTTTTCAGGTCTTTTGCTTTGTCTTCCAGTAATCAAAATCCAACTTAATATTTATCAAAGGAAACAAAATGTAAAGTAAAATAAAATAAAATAAAAGATTGTATAAACATCGTTACTTTTACTACAAACAACCATTGCAGAAATTGCATGTTTGCTTCTATTCAAAATAGGATTCTACATGCTTTTTATTTAAAAGCCTTGTGATGTAATTTCTTGCATCAAGAGAATTTATTTTGTTTAGTGCTCCTCAAGGAAACAAGACCACAATAAAGTTTTAGGGTTCACACGACAGCATGATCAGGTTCATGGGATTAGGATTTACATCACAGCACAATTTCGCTCTATGTCTCTCAACAATGTTGTGTAGCAACACACACACATAAAGTCCCACTCACTAGAATTCTTGCACATAAGTACTGTGAACTATGTATGTGCATCAGCAGTGTTGCACTCTTTTGGTGAGATTCCCTAACTATTAATATATTTGATTGTCTTGAGCCATCATGTTCACCATCATGGGGTCTCCACCAACTCTTGCTAATCAGCAGAGATAAAAATAAATAAATAAATAAATAAATAAATAATACCCTTGTTTTGTTTGCTGTAAAATTTCTCTGTTTGTGACCCATCACACAAAAGCCAAAGAAAACCCTAAAAACCAACACAAATTTATGAACAAATTCTCTCTCTCTCTCTCTCTCTCTCTCTGTATATATATATATATATATATACATATATACACACATTGTTATTGTTATTGTTATTTTCCCACCACAATCAAGTGTTTTTATAAAACCTTTTGATGAAAGACACTGTTGTGCTTTGAAGTGCTTAAGAAGTTGGGACACATGGGTACTACATGTGGGGGCCACTCTGTTGACAGCACAAAGCTGCCAACTCCACCTCCTCACCCTCCACACTGTCTTCATCAATTCTTCCAAGCCCATTATTTTCCCATTTTGAGGGTGGTGTTTACCACATTTCTAGTATTTAGAATGCTGATTTCAAAACTTGGGTCTGCGATTCAAGTTCAAGTTTGTGAAGGCATGTTTGGTGCTGTTACCCTACACCACAACAACAAAAAGGGATTTTTATTGGGCAGATCTATTTCGAAACCTGCCTGAGGATTGATGCAGACACAAACCCTAACTCTAAATCCGAAATGCTGCAACTGAGATCCAAAATTAGGTTCCACATAGTTGGAGGATTCTTCTCGGATACTTGATTCTATTTTGTAGCACCATTCAAGGTTGAGAAAAATCAAAGATTTTGTAACCGTGACAGTATATATTGATTTTAATTTTAATTCATTTGAAATATTATATATTGTATATTATTATTTTCTTTTTATGGTAAGTGTTGAGGGGGAAATTCCTTAGCAGTTTTGATCCCAAAGCATCCCATTCCTGTACTGCTGGGGCAACAGAAGCATGATCTCTTTTGGACTTGCCTGTACTGGCAAGCCCAATGAAAGCATTCCTTGTTTCCAGGTTCCACTTATTTAGTTAGTTCTCCTTTTATTTATATTTTCTCCACATTTTCCACCTCTTTCACTTACTTCTTTACTTTTCCCAAAAGGACAAAAGAATGTTGTCTTGTACCCGCAAAAGGATGTTGTGACTTTTGATATTCATGTCTTTCGCATGTGCTCAAAATATATCCTAAATAGCTAATGTTGAGATTTTGGAAGTTTTAAATTTGTGAAAAAAAAAATATTCAAAATATATATAAATAAAAAAACTGATGTAATATGATCCATTGCACTTTTAGGGGCTCTTTGAGGGAGTTCCATACTACTTACCATGCATTGCAGAAACACCATTCAGTATATTACAGGATGCATAGCACTAGTTAATAATTTCATTGATTATATATTTTTAATTTTTTCTTCAATATTTGAAATAAAAATGAAAACCAAAAAAAAATTAGATTGTTTTGATCTCTGCCTTCAATTTGATCTGTGTGTTTTCAGTTCATGCATCTGTTCCAATTTTGTAAATAACAGAAATGAAGCCTATGCCTGATTGGACAATTTTTCTTTTTAGTTTCAACTTTGTGAAAATATTTCCTATGTACATACATACATATATGTGTTTATGTCTTTACCATTGATAATGAAAAAGAAAGTAGGAAAGTCTAAAAGTCCAACTATGTTGTGTTATATAGATTTTTATTCATTTGTAAATTCAATCTTTTTGTGAAAGTTGATTTAGATAAACATAATTCTCACAACTTTTAAATAATTCTGACCACCATATATATATATATATATATATATATATATCAGCAAGTTTTTACTTCATTTCTGTATGGATTTTTTATAGGTAAAAATTATTTATAGTCTTTCAAAAAGAATTAAATTAATTAATTTAAAAAACTTCTGATGATATTATAGTGATTTTTTATTTGTTATTTGTGATTCTATATCTTTCTAAAAGAAACTTGTGTATTATTCAGTTATACAAAAAAATTAAATAAGATAATTTTGAATGTTACATTGAATTATAAAAAAAAATTATAGCTTTTTCTTCAGTACTTATAAATATTTAAATATATATGTCAATTTCTGAGTTTGAGTATAATTGTTAAAAGTTTCAATATAAACTAACAAGTTGATTGAAGCTAATAACAGTGTTGGTTAACTGATATCATGTGTTGAAATGAAGCTATAAAGTTATGTTTTTGAAAATTAATCAGAAAAAAGAGATTAAAAAAATAGAAATATCTGAAAATTTCAAATTCTATTTGTGTTAATTATCTTGTTTAAATTTCAGGACTTAATCAGATTCTTTTAATAACATGTTCAGCATGGTGCTCTTAGCATTTGCT